GTACACCATGTTTGACGGCACTCGGTTATTGAGTGCTTTTGAAAGCTCAGTATGAACGGGTTTAGCACTCACTTGTCAACCACTTTTATTCGAGTTCAACATTTTCATCCTCATGGAGGTGATTGATTGTCTGATCAGATTTTTAGGCTTTAATGAAAACTTTAAAGCCACATTTTCATACCAGGGTAAATGTGGGAGAGAAAGAGAATGTATTGTTCTAGCACTTCTTCAATGAATATGCATTTCAAAAAGGTATATGAAATTATTACTTGTCATAGGATAGGATTATGAATGCCACTTGTTTGTCATTTTAAACTTCCTGAGCAGATCATTTCTCTGTGGGATAAATGATTCCTTATCAATACTACAGTTGTTTTCAGAATCTGTCAAGTCTGCTTTTGATCATTGACTCAGCACCCTGGCTTGTCAAGAAAAAGGATGGAATCCTATACCAAAACGTATGTGAGCCTGAGTCTCAACTTAGGTCTATAAGGCTGAAGAGATGGGCTGCCAAATTCAGAAACTGGTGTAGGCTGCACAATGGCTTTTAACTGCATTGATTAAATTTATGAAATTTTCTTTGGTGAAATGTCCTGTGATAACATATTAGGTAGGTTGCTGAGTAAAAGTTCATTGAGGAATAACTTGTTACTATTCAAAATGACTATACCCTTTAAATACTGAAGAGTAAATATTTTTTAAAATCTATGCTATGTGATATTTACATATGATATGATGTGTATAATAATGAATACATATTCATTGAAAAAACACAAAATATCTTAAAACTATTAAAATCATTCCTAAATCACTGTCTAGAAAAATATTACTATTAAGATTTTTAGTACATAAACGTTTTTAGATTTTAGAGTCTAGAATTGGTATGCTTCTTCCATTGCCATTTTAACTCCACCATTATTGCTCATATTTCCCTGTAAATCACAGGTTGTGAACAATATACTCTCCATGGTATGTGAGCACATAAATGTAGATAAATAAATTCTACAGGTAATCTCAACTCCATTTCAAAAATGTTGCTGCAACTGTAATATATAGTCTGAATAGGGGTGAGAAAATGAGATCGCTTGGGGCAAATCTGGCCTGATGCTTGTTTTTATGGCCACAGTCTTATGAATTGTGTTTACATTTTAAATAGTTGACAAAAGGAACCATATTTTTGTCACATGAAAGTTATATGAACTTCAAATTTCAGTGGCCGTAAATAAAGCTTTATTGGAATACAGTGACACTTGTTT